AACCTTCATTTTTTCCGCTGGATGGCCTCCGAGGTTACTGGGAGCGTCTTCCGTCGATCTTGATCTTGACCTGCAACATGGGAATTTGAGACGAAATGTCAACTTACCGATGGATGCCCACTTTTCGCATGAGAAGTATCCAGAATGTTGTTTAATCTGCTTTAGATAAGCTCCTGCTGGCGCATCAGCGATAATACACTTAAGGTCCAGTTGGATGTGTGGACCGCCAGCATGAAGGAACACATCGTTCTTCTAATCATGTATGGTCGACTGTAGGAATTCATGAACGTCTATATGCTTAGTGCGGCCACTGTAAATGCCGACCATAACGATGTCCGAAGGCGGTTGCTTCACCCCACAAAGTATGGACCATGATGGTCGTCCAGAACTGTGGAAAAGGGACATCCCATCGACATGCAATTGCAGCTGTAGCTTTCGCAGTGGTGGAACAGTAGTTCGCAGGAAAATGCGTTGCAATCCTGCTTCTAGTTCAACGTGTACGTACCTTACACCACGCATGAAGTGTTCGAGGCAGTGACGAGGTGTGTGCATGAGTACGCGGGGAGATGCCGGCAGCTCGGGAGGTAAAAGCCGAAAATGGCACAGTAAGATGTTAATCTACGCAACTGAGAGGTTCGCTTCTAGACAGTCATCGCGGAGAGCTTCCTCGAAAGTTACATCGTCCGAAGACTGTAAAAGGATGCCCGCAAAACAGCAATGGGTTGCTTTAATGCATCGTATACTCTGGGTCCTTCTTACTTCGAGGACCTCCAGACGGTACCCAGTGCTCACGGCAGAAGCAGTTGCTGTTGCGCTGCAACGGGAAGTGCCGACACAAGTTCCGAGGAAGTGCTAACATTTACAGGTATCTCATCACACAACTGATCCAGTATGTTTAGGCTCGGTGGTGAATCTAAGGAATACCTGGTGTTGTACTTGGTGTTGTACGCAAGGACGAAAGCATACGTAAAAGCTCTTCATCACTTTTGCATATCCAGCGCTGGACGCTTGGTCTAAAGCAACCATCACGAGACTTGAAACGTTTGTGTTCCATGGCAAACGCTGGTGATCCAATGGAGTATCTACGGACAAATAACGGCGCATATAATGACGCATTCAGATAAACTCATGTAGTGTATATTTAAGAGATGGAACAAAAATTGTAGCAATGGTCCACACGGTAATCTGGGATCACATATATATATATATATGTATATTTCCTAACTTATAAATTTTTAATTCTCGACCTACCGAAATTAGTCCCAAATACGGCGTCTGGGCGCCCGGTGGCGCCGTCAGGGTGGTTCTAGGACTAATCAAACGTGTTGCAACACGATGGTACTTGTGTTTATCCCTTAGATGATCGCTTTTTATTATCCGATTACGTAAGTGCTTTTCTTTTGGTATATTGCTGAGATCGTGTGTGTTGTAGTTGAACATTCACGCACCAAGGGTGCATAAAAAGACACATTGCCTTGAGTTGAGTATTTCTGGTTGTCTTTGCTCTACACTGATTGAGACCACTCTGTGTAACATCCATTGTGCTATTTTACGCTATCAGAGACTACATATGTTTATCAGGAAACTGCCCAAAAGTGTAAGATTTTAAAGTTTGGTAATCACGTATTTGATAGGCCGACAGCAGATTCTCAACTAGAAGATACTTTCATTCATCAACTCGAGGTAAAAGGTGTGAAAACTGCTGGATGTCAAAAATCACAGATCATCAAAAATTTTAATGCAAATAACATAACGTTATTTCGTACATAATTTTCGCATGCAAAATTTAAATACTACACCAGTTTTTCTCTGTAAGCCACAGCTTTTTGGAAAATTGGCTACAAAGATTGTTGCAATAAATGAAAGTGTTCACAATGGTGGCCTACGACCAGATGTACCTCAAACATAGAAATTGATGCAAACATACATCTTCAACACAATATTTTGATGAGGCACAATATAAGCACAAAGCTAGATGCATAACGGGCATTAATAGGGCAGAGTACTTTTCGTTTGTAGCTTTTGCATCGAAATTATTTTTCTCAGCGCAGTTACGTTTGAGTCTCCAACAATAGTCATCCATCATGTGTTCGTCCTATCGCCTGTGATAATGTTCTAGATGCAGTGGAAGAAATTTGATCTTTTCTCTGCTGACAATTGGATCACACACAATGTTTGACAAACCAGCCTTCAGAGTTACACGTCTTCGCTACTTCAGTGTCCAATGTTTCTTATTAGCTCGACTGTCTCACTAGCAGAGATAACATTGGAACTTTGTGTAGCCTGTCTGCTGACCAAGAATGGAACATACCATTTTCAGCTCAACACAAACTATCCAGTTACGTTCAGGATAGTTGATGCAATCAAATATTATATTATTATTTTTATAGCGTTGTTCTTATCTCAACTGCGCTGTGAACCCACCGGAACTGCTTCGTAAACAGTGCCATTATGCAATAGAAGATGATGAAGACTACACTCTTAACTAGCCATCAATAATCTCCGCGCTCAGTGATCATACGAGACAATCCCTACTTGCAACAAGAGACCTGGAATATCATGGCAAATAACAAACTGCTTGTCTTCTGAAGGAATTCAAGAAAGTGTTTGTCGCCAACCTCGATCCTTCATGGACAAACAGTTTATTCAACAAAGGAAGCTCAGCGAAACTGACACCGTAACAAGCGTGTAGAAATCTCGGTGTAAATAACTGAGTCACCTCCATAATTAACGACACTTCTGCATTCATGCGATTCTTCCTTTGAATCAGTTAGACAAACCCGCTCCAGCGAAGCCAAATAAGAACCAATTAGTGCGTAGACATGATATGCTTTGGCGTCCAATCAGCCGCTCTGTTCCCTTGTAACAAGCCAGCCGCCTGCTTCGCCATGTAAATCCGTATAGCGCTTATGCTTGCACAATCCCAGCACAATTCACGTTTTCGGAAGAAGGCGACTGTTTGCTGTGCAGTTAAGAAAATTGTCACGTAGCCTAAAGGCTACTAATTCAGCCACTCTCTTACAAAGCCCCAAATCACGCATAGTCATTCCATTCCTTCTGAATGAGTTGCTGGGAAGCTGATGAAACTTCAGCATAAGTTACTGAGTCTTCATAAGTGGAAGTCGATTCGTATAATAACAATAATAATAACAATAAGAATAATAATAACAGTACCTATATTTCTCTTGATGAGAGAAAAGGTATCAATAGCAGCACAGATGAATTTGTACAGAAGAATTCATGCAGTTGCATGGGTGACATGCATAAGTGGAGTATTGGGATATGCGTTTTATGTATTAACATTCCGCCGGATGGTTGAGGCCAAAGTCTAGTTACGAAACCATTGGTATTCATATGTTTTTAGGCCCCTCTTGGAGTAGATCATCGAGGGATTTTTCCTATGTGAATATAGAGCTTAGGGTAGTTAGATCAAGGTAATTGGCGAGTCTGACACTAAAGGTTGCCACATTGTCCTATGACCTGTGTGTCATTGATAGTTTATTCCACAGATAGCTGTATCTGACCAGGAAGAAATTAGACAGGACGTTCGTTCTAGCCTTCTGTATATTCAATGTAAAATCTTTGTTGCAAATCGTTCGAGTTGAGCAATGTTGTAAATTGAGTGTAGACCGGTTGGAATAGGTTTTTTTGTGTAATATGTTGAAAAGCAGCAACAAGTTGTGCTTTAATCGACGAATCCAAAGTGGTTCAAGATGAAGTTCTTTGCGACGTTCTCAATAACTCATGGCAGCGTTTAGCAATCTGATGTTTAGTAAATGACCTCTGAGGTTCTCCACAGCAATTCTGTCACTCTTTCTCATATTTCCGTATATTATGCTACAGTATTCAAAGATGGGGCGAGTGAGTAGCTTGAAAAGCTTAACTCTAGCATGAGTTGTGTGTATTTTGTTTAACATATTGAACATAGACTGTCTGACACGTGCTACTTGGTATTGGGCTTGTTCGGACTAACTGAAGGTAGACGAGTACCCAATGTCGATCTCACGTGCAAGGCTGCGTAGGGACACGTTCATTGTTTAGGGTGATGGATCCTTCGGGGATGTAGCAGCCGTAAGACATGATGCTTGATTTCTTAGCCGAGAGGTTCATCACCCATGTGCAGCACCATGACCCAAGGGAATGTAAATCATTTTGAATGAGCATTAATGTCCCGTGAACCTCGTCACGCCGAAGCTTATAGACTATTTTCATATCGTCAGCAAACAAAAACTAACTGGGCCACATCTTCACGCCCACTGAATTCATCATCGGATGAAGCTAAACCTTTACATTTTGCAAAGTAGAGCTCTTCAGAGTATGGAATGAGTCGAATTGCAAAGGAAACACTGGGATAAGTGATTGTTGCCGATCTTTCTTGCCAATACCTTTTTGTATTAACCATGCAAAAACGGCAATCTGTTATATGTTTCGTAGATTCTGGCCAAACCGTGGGAACTCCAAATGGCAGGCCTTTGCCTTTCGTCCAATCACGAAGCATTTCCTCACAATAATGGCACACAATGTGAGGTGCGCACTTTTGGTCTTAGTCACCAAGAGGTAGTTCAAAGTATGCTTTATGGATACAATTTGCAAACAAAGTGATATTTCTGCTTTGACGAACTAGGGTACAACAGTTGCATATATAGCAAAGCGCATCAGATTCATTCACACAATTTTGTCGACCTGAGTGAGTCGCGGTCATATCTCGAACTGAAGTGGATTGGCACTTACTGTTCTATTTTTGTAACATATCATAATGTATGAAAACTGGAGCACACAGAAAAAAAGGATATCAGATTTGAAATCAGCTTTAAAAATTCATGTGGAATCAGTTCAAAAATCTTTTGCGGCAGAGAGCTGAAAAAATTTTGTTGCCTTGTGTACGCAAACACATGTGTATGTAGGGGAAAGAAGGACATCGAGATCCGGTGGATTAGTATTTTAATGATGATTTCACTTTGCCGGTCCTTTATCGAATTAACTCATCTTGCACTCCACAGACATTGACGAGTGTAAACAAGGAACGGCCGTTTGTGGTGAGAACATGTATTGCTTCAACACCGCTGGGTCCTACCAATGCCTATGTCAACGGGGTTACAAGAATCTGAACTCGACAACATGCGTTGGTAAGTCTCAATGGGATATTTCCTCACTGCCATATATAAGACGCTGGGTGCCTTGCAACTATGATAGCATTATCGGTCTGAATAGTAGTAGCCAAGGTTAGGAACGGACCACTTATACTGATGAGGTTCGCTTTGATTACATGGTAGTTTTCGAAGAAGGAATTTTCAGTCGGTTGTTGTCCTCATTCTAATGCACGCATGCTTGTAATTGAATCGTTTATGATTGGTAGGTAGGATGAACAATAAGCATTAACTTTATATTGGTTAAGAAGCACTGCTTTACAAGTCCCGTTGGTGACCTTGTGGGACTATCGAAATATGTTAATAAAAATTGTTAGTACTTTCATTATCAGCAGGACTTATCCTTTGTTACGCTTTAGGCCGGCAATTCGATTGGTGTCACTAAACCAACAAATAACAGCTAATAAATATAAGGTAGATCCAAAGACTAGAAAAGAGATATTTCTAAGTTGCTAAGTGTAAGCGGATGAGTGCGCCAGCCAACCGTCTTTTACCTATAGATATTGTCGGCAAACCTTCGCGACGAGAATGGACCTTAACGTGATGCGATGATTTGTGTGCCACAGTGATCCACTGCGCTGTGCTGGGTGATGCTTTTTTGCGCCTTCGGAGCTACGCATACTAAATTGGTCAATGCTTAGAGGCCAGACAAACTCAGTCTCCTTGCACTCCAGGTTGGGGATTGGAGTGAAAGTGGCTTATTAGTCCATACAACGGGTTCTGTGTAGTTCAGTGCCAAAACCCCGCTGCCTTATGGTCAGCTTTCTGAACCAAAGGCTTTAGCTGAGAGCCCTAATCGTTCTTCCGGCCAGACATGGGCGACCTGACAGTATCCTGCCCACGCATTATAACACCAACACTTTTCCTTCTAACAATCTCTTGATGTTCTGGCCGTCGCAGAAGATAAGCAACGGAGCTCTACCTGCTGCATCGAGCAGGGTGGATCAGAGTTTGGATGCTAATGCTCAGGCCTTCCAGTCTTCTTATTCCCCTCTTGCCCTTTTTTATTCTTATTTTCCCCAAACATCACTTGTATCCCCTTATTTTTAATCCCACAATTCTCGGCCCTTCCCAATGGTACTTCAATAGTCGCTTGCCTTCTTGTTTCAACTCACACATAATCGCAGAGCGTGACTCTAGTCCAGTCGACAAGTCCATGTTCAACCAAACGGACAGCGTCTGTCCATCCGTTTCCCTTTGGAGTCCTCGAGTCTCGCTAAGACTGACATGCCCCAACCAGCACACTTTGCTACAGATTGAAGAACAGGCAGAACTTGCCTTTGTTTCGCACCCTTAACTAACGTGTACTGATGACGAGGATGATGATGACGATGATGATGTTTGTCGACGCAGAAGCGCCCGATCCAGGTAGAGAATGCAACGGGTAACATAGGGAAATGAAAAGAAACTTTGCGATAATCCAGCCTTTCAGACCGCTCTGTTAGTATTAAGGATTTGCCTCTCAGATTTGGATCACTGTAGAGTTGCCATACGGAGAGCCCCACATGATGTGGATCGCGCAGTTTCAAGTAGACCATCATCGGATCGCCTCGTAATCTACGATATGGTCCGCTGAATATCCTCAATCATTTCAGCCTCTGCTCATACGGACAACTGCGCATTCCACTGACGTATTTGCATGCTCGACGTTGACGTTACTACAATGCATTAGGATCGTGTTTCAGCCATGGATACCACGCTTGAATGCGTAGTTGACATGAGCGCAAACACACGCTCTAAGTATCTACCGGAAAATATAGATGCCTATTCGTCCGGAAAACCGTCTCAGCTCTCCGATAAGTTGGTTGCCTGTTTTTCATACCTTTTCGGATTGCCTGGAACAATCCAGTTCATCTCGAGCCAGTATTCTGAGATCCCTTTCGACGGACGAGCACCACAGTACTTGCGTGCTAGGCCTGGTGTCTTATAGAGAGGACTTACATTAAAATGCAGTAAATTTTGTAATGGACACTTCTGTACCGTGTCCAGTTCACAGTGAAGCAGGTGTTTGTCGGCATTTCCTGGGTCCCTGCACCAAATTTGGATGTCATCGACAACCTTAGAACATTTGAGGCGATTACCCGTGCGAAGTCATTGCTAATTATCAAAAAACAATTGTGACCATAAAACTGAGCCCTGAGGTACACCATAGTCAACCTGTATGGGGTCGGAAAACCAGATGTGAATTCTGACTACTAATTATCGCTGAAGGAGAAAATTGGTGAGGGTCACCGTTCCCGTATTACTGAAGGTTGGAAAGTAGTATCCGATAATCTAAACGATCAAAAGCCCTGGAAAATTCAAGTTAAACCATTTGAAGGTCCTCTCCATCGTCAGCATACTCGGTCCAACTACTCCGTGCGGTTAAGAAAATCGTGGTGCGATATATCTGTCGACATCAGCAGTGTTACTCGGGAGTAATGATGTTGTAATTTTTTAAGATAGCGCAACGGCATTTCGACGGGATGTATTACATAACTTTGGACAGTATAGGGAGAAAATATACTAGGCGGTAGCTTGAAGGCTGGGTCTTGTTTCCACCTTTGTGAATCGGAGTTATTATTCTGACCTTCCACATGACAGGAACTTAGTTTTGATCTAAGCAGCACCGGAAGACCTGAGCCAAATGTTCGGCTAGTGGTAGTGCAGTTGTTCTCAGTACCACTGGGCGATTGGTTTCACCACCCTGGGACTTGTGGTTGCGGAGATAAGACAGCATCTGGAATACAGCTTAAGCGATAAAACCAACGTAGATGTATCCTTGCTAGTTGGCAACAATAGTTGGAAGATCGCTTGGTGGCAAGACTTGGAATTTGGGAAAATAACGCGTTGGATGCTTCTGTAGCCGTTCAGGGCAGAGAAAACCCCGCATCACATTACAAAGTTTATTGATGTAGTTGTACAACAGCTTGTGGTTAGCGCTGAAGGTTTTGCGATATTCTGCTAATATACGGTTTTGTCTGCTCTGAGCAGTCGTGGGTAGTGGTTAGGTTGGGCTACGTAGTTGTCCCAACTTTTTACATTTAGTGCTAAGCTATACGCCCGCTATGATGCGTTGCGTTTTAACATCCATTTTCGAATTGTGCTGCTTACGAAAGGAAATATTTTAGACTATTGTAAACTCCTGCCTCTGAAGCACCTGTAAGTGGTCGACTGAATTTGTTGACGAAATTGAACCAGGCGACTTCCGGCGAGGAGCGATCTGGTTGTGGCACTGACAAGCTGGGTTAAACCCTCGCAGCGTGTGATGGTGCCACGATCTTGTGCTTTTCATTTAAATATCCGTCATAGCAGACGTTGAAAATAATAACTGCAGGATAACTGCGACCAAAACATTGTTTACCATCAACACACAAATCATAGGTTCCTCGTTGGTAATCATAAGACCCAGCACAGATGGCCTGCTGCCTATTCTAAGTAAAGTTGACAAAATGATGTGTTTTCAGAGCGGAACACTGGTACGGAACTCTTACAGATCGGCCTTAAATTGTTCTCCGATCGTGGCAAGGGTTACTAAACAATATAGCTTGCAAGCACCAATAATCAAGATGTGAGTGTATTTTTCTTCTAGCTTTTATCTTAGACCAGTCAAGAGATGGCGGTACACCAGGGCAGAAGTCCCTGTCACTTAACTGCAGGAGGCACAAAAGAGACTCGACAAACTGTAGATCTGAATCCTTAACGGCCTGGTACCGTAGGTCGCTTCGGGTATACAGAATTACCTCTCCTCCTTTGTAAGCGTGTCTTTGCGGATGGGTGACATGCCCGGCAGCGCAACTTCAGCGTCTATCATTCCAGCGTGCAACCATGTCTTCGTGACACCGATGATATCACATGGCTTAGAAAGTTTGCGATCTTTCACTTAGGCCACTTTAGTTAAAAGTTAGTGAGCATTCTTTTCACATGTAGTTTACTTTCTCCGACTCTAGGAGCATACAGAAGGGTTAAAGGATTCAGGAGAGGGAGACTGAGGATCAATGTGAGATTGGCCTTTGTTTGAATTTTATTGGATAATATCACCTCGTCTGCAGCTTGATTTGGCCAAGGTACGTCCCATTCCTCATCTCGACCTACTTCGGAATCGAGTGAACTAGCGGCCACGCAAAGCTCCTATGTGTTTGCATGTAGGTTAGCTATCTTACATAAGCTCATGCCTGGCCGTTACAATGCTTTGGCAGCCCTTAACCGAAGTATGGAAAGAAGGCTTTGCCGGTATTTCCACCAACGATCTGAAACATTCTTTGCAGTTGTCTTTAGCTGAATCCCTAGTTGTAAGTTTCTTGGATCGCATCCTCTATAAGTCCATCGCAATGGTGCGATGGTTTGTGTGCCTCAGTGATCCACTGAGCTATGCTGGGTGGTGCTTTTGCACCTTCAGAGTCACTCATACCAGATTGGTCAATGGTTAGAGGCCAGACAAACTCAGCCTCCTGGTCCTCCAGGTTGGGGGTTGGAATGAGGATGGCACCTTATTCCTTAAAACGGACTCCTTGTAGCCCAACGCCAAACACGCTGCCTTACGGTCAGGTTTTTGAACCAAAGGCTTTGGTTGGGAACCATAATCGTTCTCCTGTCTAGGCCTGGGCAACCTAACACTATCCTGCCCACGCAATACCATGAATATTATCTCAAACAAATTGCTGATGCTCTGGCCACCGCAGAGGATAATCCACGGTGCCCTCTCTGCTGCATCGAGCAGGGTGGATAGGGGTTTGGATGCTACTGCTCAAGCCTTCCCGTCTTCTTATTCCCCATCTTCCGCTTTTTCACTCTTACCGTCCCCTTCCAACTTCACCTATATCCCCCAGTTTTCAACCCTCCGATTCTTGACCCTCCCCCAACATGCTTTGCTAGGCATTTATCTTCTAATTTCAACTCAAATGTGAACGCGGAGCGTCACTCCTCTCCTGTCGACAAGCCCATGTCCAACCAAGCGGTCCATTCCAGTTCATCGGCTTCCATTTGGAACCATCGATCCT